TATTAGCTATCGTATGATATTGCGTGTGTTTGGAGGGGGTCCCTGCCCGCCTTATATAGTCCGGGGGGCAAGGTTACAAGTCGGTTAGATCTAGGAGATAACCGGAAAGTAATAACAGATTACAGGAATCATGGGATCATATGTATCCTAACAAATCTCGTAGTATCTTCAGGATATCTTTCCGGTGTCTTGCGGGACGCGCCGAGCAGCGTCGTGCCCCGCAAGACTTTGTCTTGTGGGCTGGGCCGCTCCTGGGGGCGCAGCCCATGTGGTATGCCGTGGGTATCCGGGGTTGTACCCCCCACAACGTGAGATTTTTTTTTTCTCGAATACGCAGGAGAGCTGCGTATCATTGTATTAAAGAGAGAAAATGGATCAGCCCCTTACAAACACCACCACCTCACTCCGGGCTGAGCTGTGAGGGGTTGTTTACATTACATCGGAGGAACTAATAGACAACTGAGATAGAGGTGAGACCTGACCACAAACAAACCTCCTAACTGACCTAAACAAGGTAGGCTAACCAAGCCCACCACTGTGACCCAGTGCGCAGGCCACGCGCGGCCAGCCACCAAAAAAGATGCTCATCTCTGAACTCATCAAGCATCTTGGTGATGCAGGGGCGAGACCTTTCAAAAAAAAAAAACAGGTGTTTCGGTGCTTCCAAAGTGTCCAGGAGCCTAGAATGATAATTGAGTTCAACCCTCTCTTCTCTTTCGGAATTCTCTTGATTGCTTTCCGCCACCAAGTTGCCAATGACCTCTCTCTTCTTGTGGGAGTTCGGTCACGCAGTCCCAAAGGCGTGAGGATCCGTGACCAGAATTCCTGAGCAAGAACGCACGTAGTAAGCAGGTGTTGGACAGTCTCATCTTCCTGATCACACAAGGGGCAGTGGCTCGGGTGAGGCAAACCTTTCTTAGCTAATCTATCTGCCGTCTAGCACCTGTTCCGGATTGCTAACCATAGGAACAGCTTGCACTTTGGTGGCGCCCAGGATTTCCATAGACGTCGCCATGGCTCGAAGGAGATGGATCCATTGAAGAACGCTCAATAAGCAGATTTTGAAGAAAATTGGCCTGACCCATCTAGTCTCCAAACATGGACATCGGCCTCCTGAGAGAGAATCACCTCATGTAGAATATCCCATAATTGAAAGAATTCAAAGAGGCCCACCATTGAGAGCCCCCCTCTGATGTCGGTTGGCCAATCATGCTCCTGAAGGGCGTCAGCCACCGTGCGTTCCCTGCGAATTTGGGATGGCACTGCAGCAACAACCGCTGGAGCTAAATCTTCTAAACAGCAGCCCATAAGCCACTTATCCTTCCAGAATAAAGTATTTCTACCATTCTTGGCCTGAGGTTCCAAAGCAATGTTGAAGAGAGCCACCGCATTTGGATGAATGTGCAAGTCATCGAGGCCAACCCATGACCGGTTGGGGTCTGTCTTCTTGAGCCATAACCAGCGGATTTGCAGAGCCCAGCTCATAAGCTCGAGGTTAAGGATCCCAAGACCTCCCAGATCAAGGGGTCGCTGGACCTTTTCCCAAGCCACCAGACAAGCACCACCATTCACTTGCTCTCTTCCCTTCCAAACAAAAGCTCTTCTTATCTTATCAATGGCACGCAAAAACCATTTTGGCACCTTGATAGCTGTCAAGACATAAACCGGAATGGCTGATAGAACGAATCTTACCCAGGTAACTCTTCCTGCCATGGTCATGAGTGCAGCTCGCCAACCAGGGAGTTTATCACTGATCTTTTCTATCCATCTGAGCAATTCAGCCTTTCCTATTTTTCTAGTTGAGACTGGCAGTCCCAAGTAAGTGCAAGGAAAGTCTGCTGTGGTGCATGGCAGTGTAGAGGTTACCATCTCCAATTGAGCCGGCTCACATCGAATAGGTACAACCAGGGGCGAAGCTAGGAAAAATGGCCGCCGGGGTCGATACTCAGTACTAACCGAGCATTAACTTATAGGTTGCGATAATATAATACCATACATAACATAAATTAATATGATAATAACTGCATATTGTGACAAAATAAGCTTTTACAAATCACAACAGTAGTTACCTCTTACTGTGTCCCCCGACGACTACGATCCTCCATCTTGTGAAAGCGAACTATCACATCGTCAATTGGAATTGTGGCAAAAAATCCTTGTTCTACGAAGCATATGATACAATCATTCATAAATCCATCTCCAATACGATTTCTTAGTACTGTCTTCACAATTTTCATTGCCGAAAAGCACCTCTCCACCGATGCAGTGGCGATAGGAAGAACTAGTATTAGCTTGAGAAGCCGATAGACCAAAGGAAAAGCCAAATGTTTCTTTGTACCCACCATCAACCTAGCAAGAAATAGCGTTCAAGTTGGCAAATCTTTCATCAGATCGTATGTTGTCAATGTAAATTATAGAAGATACTAATCTGCAAGCCGTACTGAACTAGTAAATTAGCATAGATTAGATACCTGACATCTTGGCCTGAAAGTCTGAAACTCTGAATGAAAGAGCACGTTCTTTGCTGGAACGTAACTACGCAAGGAGACAAGGAACACGGAGGCCACTAAGCTTTTGCCGGCGGCGTCTGCTCGCTGGGATTTGCGGTTGCGGCTCACGGTCACGGCCAATCGGCACTAGCCCCCGCAGAGGATGTGAGATGAGAGACTACGAAGATGAAAAGGGTGCGGGCGTGCGCCGTGCCGCCAGGCTGTAGCGGAGGCCGGAAGCAAGCCAACGTTTGGCATTCTAATCTGGACCTGTGACTGCTGCTAATGGGCTGAAGAGATAGTTAGACTTGTGCTAATGGGCTGCCGGCCTGCCGGGGTCGTACGTATTTTTCACCGGGGTCTCAGCCGGCAGAAAATCGCGGGGTACACGGACGATCGCAAAGTCGTCGGTGTTGGACGACCCCGTTGAGTGAATGTAGCTTCGCCACTGGGTACAACACAATTTTTCTGTAAATTTGTTTGTAGGCCTGATGCCTCACCAAACCTGTCCAACATGCTCATAGTGAGGTTCATCTCAACCTCCTGTGGCCGAATGAAGAGGACAACGCCATCAGCATAAAGAGATATGCGCTGACCCGGATTGCCTCGTGTTGGCGGTTGTAGCAACTCTAAATCTCCAGCCTTGGTGAATAAACTGTTGAGCACATCCATAACGAGGATGAACAACATTGGGGAGAGGGGGTCTCCTTGTCGGAGACCACGCTGGTGTCTAATTTCCGGACCAGGTTCACCATTAAGAATTATCCTGTCATTGCAATGAAAGAAAAAAAAACTTTCCTGTCTGTGTTATAGCTAGGACTTGGATGTTCCGGAATCCTCTTGCCGAGCTGGAACGACCCATCTCCTATTTCTGCTTCCAACGCCTACACGTTGAGTCTCAGTTACTCAAGAAAGACTTATTCATACTGGAGATAGTCAACCTCCACCAGCAAGCAGCACCGGAGTGAATCCTTTCGATCTTTTTTGAGAGGGAAAATGATAATGAAAAAGGAGAAAAAAAAAACGCTGAGAGACACATTGCAAAAAGAATCGCTTATTTCAATGTTGTAAACTAGTGAGTGGTACAGGAGTTATGTGGTCAGTAACCCTCATCCTAATAGGGACACCTTGATTAGCGAGGTCAAGAATAGGTTTCTGTGCATCCAAATCTGTAACCCACAGTTGATGAATTAAGAAAATGACATCAGGTTGGATCTGTAAGGGATTATATGAGCAAGTTGAAAAAGTAAAGGCCGGACTGGACTGATCTTGGAAAACCCTAATCTTACTGAGAAGTTTTTCTTTTCCTCTTTTCTAAGTGGTTTAAAGGAGGAAGTGAAGTATATGGTCACTGCTCAACACCCTAATAGTGTGAACAAGGCTTATGAACATGCTATGCACTATGAGTTAGCCCAACGCAAGGGGTAATCCAGCTACAAATGAAAGAGTAAAGCGCATTATCTTCATTCCACTTCCAATTAGATGTGTTACGCACAGTGACATTTTTGGGTAGTGGAAATGCAATGACAGGGTGTTTCTATTATTGATAGTTGACATTAACTTGAATCAAAGCCCATACTATAAAGTTATCAATTTAATGGTCAAAGATCCAAGATGACATCAGAACAATGCGTGTTAATATCAATTATGATTTTGAAATTAAGGTTATATCCCCTGAAAACGAGTGGATAGTTTCATATGAATTTTGGAGGCCTTTTGACATGAGGTCGAATCTCATAGAATAATTCTTTTTGTGTATCAAAATGGTCATTCCTGCAATTTTCATGTGCTTTGCATTTGACGCATTGCAGCCAAAATCTGTGTTTTTGTCATACTGCATTTTTGGAATTTGTTTCAAAGAGGCCTTAAGAGGATTTAAGAAATGCTATAAGTTATTAAGGATATGTTAGGACCATTCCCTAGAAAACATGCTTTAAGAATCTTGAATGTTTCTGCTGCAGTGATGCTACTGGTTCATGTAGTGGACCACTATAGAATAAAGCATTTGCGAGAGAGCTAAAGATAACCGCAATGTCCAACTGCATCTTTTAGCTAATATCAGCACTATAATTTGTTACTTGAAACAATCGTGGTTTATAAAATGCTTTCTTGGAGCTTTAAAATTTTCCAAAATATTTGTCCACTGTTTCTGACTATGTCAAACTAATCATAATTCATAAAGGATATTTGCATGTGCATTTCTTGGTGAATGATCTATATTTAAACAAGAAATCTGCATGTTATTATGATATTCATTTGGTGTATTTGAAATACAATTATTTGGTACTCCCTCTGTTCCAAATTATAAGTCGTTCCGGCTTTTCTAGGTATATTGTTTTGCTATGCACCTAGATATAGGCTATAGCTAGATACATAATAGAAGTTATGTATGTAGAAAAGCCAGAACTTATAATTTGGAATGGAGTAAATGGTAAATATTTACAATTGTGCAGAAAGTTGCTGTATTATTTTTTTGCCAATTCATTTACATATTTCTTTGTCTATTTCTAGGTTCCTATATCAAGTGGGAATGGTTCATACCCCTTTCCAGTGGAGGTTCCTGGGAACACAAGATTTTTATTTTCCAGTAAGACCAGAACACTTTCCAAGGCAATTGCAAAGTCTGTCGTAAGTTATTGACATCCTTTCAGCTTTTATTTATTTTCAATCTGACTGGCTTATGAAAGATACACCCTCCATTCCAAATTATAAGTCGCTCTGACTTTTCTAGATACATAGCTTTTACTCCCTCCGTTCCAAATTATAAGACGTTTTGACTTTTCTAGATACATTGCTTTTACTGTGCATAGCAAAAACTATGTATCTAGAAAAGCCAAAACGTCTTATAATTTGGAATGGAGGGAGTACTATGTATCTAGACATTATCTAGGTGCATAACAAAAGCTGTGTACTTAAAAAAAACCAGAACAACTTATAATTTGGAATGGAGGGAGTACTTGTGTACTTTCGCCTCTGAATCTCTGATGCCTTGGTACGGGAAAAAAATATGTGTAAGTAATGGCATTTAATTAGGATCACTTATTCAGTCAGTAGCCTGTAAAGGTTTTGTATAACGTACATTCTATTGATAAAACTTTTACTGTCATATATATTAATATAAGGACATGACTAAAACCAGACACCTATCTGTTTAAGTTAATCACAAGTGGCTGTCTAGGTACATTGAACTTGAGTGGCATCATCTTCATTCCTCCTTGGATCCCCATTGACCACCACCTACCGCCCAATGCCCCAGTGCCCTCATGGCTTCTGGCGCCTCCCCGGTGCCGGTGCTGCCTACCCCACACTGCTGCGGCACTGCCCACGGCCGGCAGTGAGGTGCCTCCCTGCTGTGCCACCCACAACCCCCACCACGACCCCTCGATCCCGCTCTACTCGTACCACTCTGGCAAGATTCCTCCGCCCTGACACCGCTGACACCACCGCGGCCAGCGGTGCAGTGCCACCTTGCCTCCCACCTGCCTCCAAGCTGGCCTGCTTCCAGCTTCTATAATCGCAGGGAGAACTCACCTGGAACACAAACCCCCTGGCCCTAAAGGGTCAGTATGGCTTCTACGGTGGTGAACTTGGTGAGGAAGACAGTCTGGAACTTTTGTGCGTGAGCATGAGGAAGAGGATAAGATTGTGGTGTTGTTTGTGCTGCTTGTGAAGAATAGCCTCACGGAGAGAGAAGTAATAAAGTGATGCATGTCTGGTCCAGCTTGCTGGCTTAGGATCATTGGATTTTAATACGGAGGCAGCAAGGAAGGGTTTCACGATAAGGTTAAATGGAGAGCTCTAGTTTTTTCCTTCACTGAAACATGCTTTGCAAATCAAACATGGAAATGATATATTTATGTTACTTTATATTTATATAGATGTTACACCTTGCTGTACTTGTTCAACTAAAAGCAAGAAAGAGTCACACCCATTTTTATTTCTACCTTTTGCAGGTATACCTTTTGAAGCCTAAAAGTTTAGCATTTGAGTATTTTGAGAAGCTCATTAATTTTTTGGAACAGTATGCCTTCTGACCATGGTCTTCTTTGAGCTTGCTTCAGAGGCCTTTTTTTTTGTTTTAACCTGAGGAATTTTGGTTTTTAGGTTCTATCATCCGTCAAATGGAGGTCGTTGGACCTACTCATTGGAACGTTTCCTGCGTTATCTTGTTGTTTACTTTGAGGAACGCCTTCAACATGAACAATTGTAAGGGATCAATCTTCACTTGCATGTGCAGCTTGAAAAAAAATCATCTTATTGACTGCAGCTCATCTGTTTCAACATAAACACTGTAGTGGTATGGCAGTTGAGGACCATGATCAATCTTATCTGGGAAAGGAAGAAAGGTCTGTTTTTGTCAAAGCTATCTTGAAATTACTGGATCGTGGTCAGTACAGCAAGGATAGTTCTCTTGCTGAAACAGTTTCCGTTGCAACTTCGGTCCTGTCTTATATTGAACCAACCCTCGTGCTTCCGTTTGTTGCAAAAAACTTCCAACTAGCCTTAGAGACAGTAAGTTTAACTAGAAATATGCACTGACCTTCATTTTGTATAGATATTTTTGTGGTCTATGTGAGCCTTGCAATCTGTTTAGTTTTCATTTAGATATTCAGAAACAAGCTAATGATTTGAATTGTTTTCTAACAGACTACAGCTACCCATCAGTTAAAGAACGCTGTCACATCTGTTGCATATTCTGGACGTGCTCTTCTTCTATGTTCTTTATGTTCATCTCAGTCTGATGATAGCAGTGTTGTTGATTCATTCAGTGATCTTGTTGTCGCTTCCCTTTCAAATGCATTGCTTGGCATGGATGCCAATGATCCACCTAAAACGATTGCTACAATGCAGTTAATTGGTTCTATATTTTCAAATGTAAGTTTTTTTCTTTTACCTTATCATCTGCAATTCTGGTTTCCGGTAAAGAGTACTTTGCTAACTCTCCTAAGGTGTATATAGCTAGCTGTAGTTGGTGTTAGTGATGACGTGCCTATATTCCTCCAATCTACTACTCTATCGAACTGGCTAGATGAATTCTTTTCCCGGCTGTTTTCTGTGCTTCAGAATCTGGAATCAAGTAGTCCCATGTAAGCAATGATCACTAGAGTCTCACATCTGAGATTTTTTTCTCCTACTTTTTCAAATATTTGTCAGAACATTGTAATGACATCCCATTTGGATATGCAGTAATGAGGGTTACCAAAGCTCATTCATGTCAGGGACTTTTCTTGTTGAGGACAGCCCATATTACTTTTGCATGCTTGAAATTCTTCTAGGGAAGTTATCAAAATCCTTATTTAATCAGGTATTTACATTCTTGTTAATATGTGGTACTCTTGTCCCTAGACTTGAATTTCCCGTCACAAATGTGTTTCCTTTTTTTTTTTTTTTTTTTTTTTTTTTTTTTTTTTGCAATTGACAGTCCCTGAAGAGAATTGCCAAGTTCGTTAATGCAAATATCCTCCCTGGTGCTACTTCAGAAGTTGGGCTTCTTTGTTGTGCCTGTGTTCATTCATATCCTGAGGAGGCTTCAGTCTACCTTGTAAAACCAATCTTAGAGACTATCATGTCATCCTTTGAGGGGACTCCAACGACTGGTTATGTAGGAAGAGTAGTTGCAGACAAAGCATCTACAAAGGTTTGCTCAGGTGTAAAATGTCTATTACAGTATTACTTGAGCTATTCCATACGTACAACCAGTTGCATCTAATGACATGCAGGCTGCACTTTCTCCTGCCCTGGAAACAGCAATAGATTACTATCTGAGGGTTTTGGCCATATCCATCAGTTATGCAGGTCCTGTGTTACTCAGTTATAAGGAAGAGCTAAATCACATAATAACATCTGCGTTCCAGGTCCCTTCATGGAAGGTTATATTTTTCATTTATCTTTTCATAAATTCGAACAGCTACTATCCCCATGTCCCCATCATATATTATACTATGTTAGATGACGAATTTCCTTTTCTCTTGGAATGTCTAGGTTAATGGAGCTGGGGATCATCTCCTTCGCTCTCTGCTAGGAAATCTGGTTTCTTATTACCCAATTGATCAGTACAAGCATGTTTACGTCATGTACACTTTTTTTTCTCAAACACATACACTTGACGTTTTCGTTATTTGATCTATAACATGTTTACCCACCAACCAATATATTATCCTGTTTGTATAGGCCATTCAATTGTCAGCCTATTGGAAATATTATTGAACCATGGGGATGTTCGAAAGCTCATCAGGATAGGGAGGCTGAGATACTTAATTTCCCTCCAAAGTGGCATGATCCCAGTCATGATGAACTATCTTTTGCAAATGAATTACTACAATTTCATTTTCAGTCAGCTTTAGAAGATCTTTTGACTATTTGTCAGACAAAAGTTCATTCTGAGACAGGTAGATATGCTAGTTCTGGCCATGGAAACGACCTTGCCTCTATTTTTTTATTACTCACCTGTAATGTGATATGTGCAAAAGAAAAAAAATAGTACATGCTTATTCAAGTACATTGAAGTCCATGTATTATCTTTTTGTGCATTTGTGCTTTATTTTCTGTAGTTTCCTATTTGATATTTTTTTTCTTCTTTTAGCAGGAGATGAGAAGGAGCACCTAAAAATAACCCTATTACGCATTCATTCTGCATTGCATGGTGTAATGTCTTGCTTGCCAGAAATTCGCCCATCATATAAAGATGGGAGGTTCCTGGAAGTGGAGTCCACATTCTTCATAGCAGGATCTGCTGGTAGCACTGTTGGAAGCTCAGAAATGCGTGAAAAGGCTGCAGAATTTGTGCACATAGCTTGCAGGTGAACGTTTGTTCTTAATACATACAGTTTCACTTAACATTTACTATTTGGTCTCACCAAGTGCTCTGTCAACAGGTACTTATTAAAGGAAAGAACTGATGACAGTATTCTTCTAGCACTTGTCGTGCGTGTCATTGATGCTTTGGTAAACTATGGTATGTTAACTAGGCTCAAAGACTCGAGCTGAGTAATTTTTGCTGTTTATGTGACAGTTTGCTGTGTAGGCAGCTTGGAATATCAAGAATGGTCAAGCCATGTTCAAGCTTGGAAACTAGAATCTGCTTCCATAATGGAGCCTCCATGCAACTTCATTGTTCCATTTCATGCTCAAGGAAAAAAGAGGTATGCACATCTGCATTTGTGGATTCTGATTCTGCTATATGGGCCGTTGTTGAACTTTCTCTATTTTGTTTCCATTAGACCTAGATGGGCACTTGTTGACAAAGCAAACTTGCATAGTACATGGAGGTGTTCACAATCATCATATCACAGATACAGAATGAATGCAGATGTTTCTCCATCTGTCCTCATGATTAATTTGATGAATGATCTCTTAGATCTCTCACTACACAACTATGAAACTGTTCGATCGTAAGTCTCTCTCTCTCTCTCTCTCTCTCTCTCTCTCTCTTCTTGGTTGTAAATTGAAAATTGTGTTTAAGATTTTTTTTGAACCATCAGCAGGGGAGCCCCCTACCTTTTTTTTTTGTTTTTTTTAACCCAGCCCAGAAATTCATCCCTGTGGGGATTTTAACCTGGCCTGCTGGGGTGCTACTGAGGAGCTCCAACCACTAGGCTGGAGGCCTGTTCGCATTGCGTTTAAGATTTAGTATAGATTTTAAGTGTTGCCATCAACATTTTAAACACATCAATTTGACAAACTATATGTGTTTGCTGATCAGCGTACCTTTTCTTGAGAAGAAGATGAGTGTACCTGAATTCCCTTATATTATGTCTGCCATAAAGGATTCCCTTATAACATGACCATCTTGTTTCTGTTTCTTTTTCTGTACATTCTTATGCAGGTATGCTGGAAGATCGCTTACAAAATTGTTGAAGCGCTGGCCTTCTCTAATTTCTGACTGTGTTCTCACACTTGCGGGAAATTTGCGTGACCCAAAAGCTCCTGAACATGTGGTTCTTGGTTCTTGCAGCATTTTGATCTCACAGACTGTTTTAAGACATTTGACCACTGTATGTCTTTCACAACTTACATGCTTTAGGTCTAAGCTAAATCAATAATGTCGATAGTATTAACATAATTGTTCCATATAGGATTCTGTTTCCCTCTCTTCCTTTATCATGGGAATTCTGGAAAGGTATACTCTAGAATTGTACTACGCATAAAATCTTCATTTTTACTATTCAATATATTTTATTGCACATCTCATTTCCAGTAATAAGAATAATCAGAATTTGATAGACGTGGAATAGAAAAGTGTGCTACTTGTTTTTTTGAAACAGGACAGCTGATCAGTATGTCACTAACTCCATTCCTTTCTTCTGTAGCTCTCATCATGAATCATTGAAGTGTCAGAAAGCTATTACTGAGGTGCCGTTTAATAGAAAAATCAATCTCTAAAAGAAAAAGAGATAAAATAAATAAAATCCTAAATTAAGGTGTGCCACTGAAGTTTTTTTATATGATCTTTACAGCTCTTTGTAATGTATAATATACGTTTCTCTGGAATATCAAGGAGCTTCTTTAAAAATCCTGAAAATCAAGCTGACAAGCCAGGATTTCTCAGTCTAATTTCTCAAATTAATGCTTTGGGCTTTGAGACTAATGGACTACATTGGAGGTAAGAAATTTGTATATTCTGACATAAACTGAGACACTGCTAGAGTCATTGCAATTACATTTTTTTTGCTATCTGAAAATTTAAGTTTTTTCATCCCATTTATATATGCTGAACCAGTTTTTCTATTTCACTTTTCTACTGTTCGCTTCCTTTCAGATTCCGTATGAGCTCTCTTTTCAGTATATAGTTTGGCTATTGACTAATTGATCATACCCCAATTCCTCCTCCATGGTCCATGCCATCAAATTAGCTCTATTTTCAAATTTACCTCGAACTTAATCCATCTTAGGCAGGTTGTGTTATTTTAGTAATAAATTTATATACGCTGAACCATTTTTTCCATTTAACTTTTCTACTGTTCTCTTCCTTTCAGATTCCGTACTGAGCTCTCTTTTTCGTATATAGTTTGTTCATTGACTAATTGATTTGGTCAAAGTTAGAAAAATTTGACATAGGACAAATCTAAAATGACTTAGAATTTTGGAATGGAGGGGATACTTCTTTCTTTAACAATGTAATCTCTCTCGAACGCACTGGAGAGCTGCGTATCATTATATTAAGAAGATAAGAGACTAGATGACTCGTACAATCCCTAGTGGGGCAAAATCGTTGCAAAAGACCCTGCCAAAGTGCCAATCATAGATTCATAGCTGCTTGAATTGAATTTTACTATCTTGTAGTAATAAACATACATATGTACTTAAAACTTGCAGCCGTGTAATTCAGGTACAATTTGATGGCCAACAGAGTACTCCTATTGCTAATTTTGGCATCCAGAAGTGAATCTGGCATATATTCGCAAATGCTTGCAAAAATTGCTGGTATGGACTTAATGCCTTCCTCTTTGTAGCTTCTTGTTAATACCATCTATCATGCCCTAATATTCATGTTTGTAAAAGGCATCTTTGACAGCTTTTTTTAACGAGCTTCAATGTTCAAAATAAATGCCTTATGTTAGGTCATTTCTTAAGAAATTTAAAGAGTCAACTGCCCCACTCGAGAATGCTTGCTATATCTGCTTTGAACACATTATTGCAAGGATCACCTCATAAGGCATCTGCAAAAGATTCAAAGCAATCAGTAGATCACCCTGAAGATTGCAATATTTCATCAACAGAAGAGATTTTGAATGAGATAATCCGAGAGGAAGGATTCATGAATGAGACCCTGAACAGTTTATCTCATGTCCATATTATTTCCGATAATGATGGTTCGTCAAAAGCGAGTTATGGGGCATCATCTTTTCAAAGCGGATCTGACAAAGCAATAACTTACTTCTACTTTGATTTCTCTGCCTCATGGCCACGTACTCCTAGTTGGATTTCTTTAGTGAGTGGTCACACATTCTATTCCAATTTTGCTAGGATATTCAAAAGGCTTATACAGCAATGTGGAATGCCAGTAATCTCTTCTCTTCAGACTACACTAGAAGAGTTTTTAATTTCAAAAGAGAGATCAAGGCAATGTGTAGCTGCTGAAGCGATGGCTGGGATGCTGCACTCTGATATCATTGGGAATCTGGAGGGTGAGAACAACTGGTTGATGGTCCAGCTGCATAAGATTATGTTAGCACCATCTGTGGAGTCAGCTCCTGAATGGGCAGCTTGCATTCGATATGCTGTTACAGGAAAAGAAAGAGCTGGAACTCGTGCTCCTGTTCTCAGGCAAAAAGTATTAGAATGCTTATGTAGTCCTCTTCCTCATTCCATGGCAACTAGTGTACTTGCGAAGAGATATTCTTTTCTGTCTGTTGCTCTAATAGAAATTTCTCCACCAAAAATGTCCCCAGCAGAGAAGCAATACCATGTTAAAATTCTTCATGAACTACTTGACAGCATGAACCATTCATCTGCTCAGGTAAACTAAATGACTCCACTATTGTGTTCATGAATTGCCATTCCTTTTATTTCAGTCTTCTTATTTCAAGAATATTTTCTCTTGAACAAGAGCTGTGTATCTTTGTATGTATTAAAGAACTAAAGAAGAGAGAAGGGGTAGAAACCCCAAAGTTCACACACATACACCCCCCTTTTAGTTCTATAATGCAGTCTCCCTAAAGCAATGCAGTCACATCTGAAGAGCATTTCCTAGAATTATCTAGAAAAGCTGCTCTCATTTTTTTTTTCACTGACTATCATAAAGTATTGTCATCACAGTTTAGTTCCCAGCTCTAGGTTCTGATGCTTGACCGTGTAGATGATCTGTTGGATTCCTAGTTCCTATAAACTGGATCAAGCTCATGCCATCCTTGCTTATTACCTATAAACTGAATCTGGCTTATACTACATGTTAGCATATGCTATTTCTGGTGGGCGACTGTTAATAATTGTATACTTGTGTCGGTACTCTGATGCAGGTTACCGCAGAGTACATCTGTACATGGCAACACTCCTTTACATTTCAAATTGATAAATCAGTTTCGACTATATTTGATAAGTACAACAACTATTCTTCCCATGGATTAAAGAGGATGAATAACTATGACACTCAAATCTGGAAAAAAAATCGAAACCTTTTAGCTGGTTACAGAAAATTTCCCCAATGTTTCCCCATCTCCTTTCTATTGAATAATGAGACAGAAGAACTTCAGTGCTTGAGGCAGCCTGTAGAGTGCTTTGTGCAGCCGCAACAGCTTCCATTCTTCTCCGGTGACGATGAACCTGGGTGCTTCTGCATGGACACCTCCTCATGTAGATCCCTATTGAAGAAACGAATTTTGCGACCCCTCCTGGGCATCCAATGCTAGCAGCAGCCACACCGATTCCATGTGGGTGACGAGCGCGATGACTTCTTCACAGTCGATGATGGGCTGCTGGACGAAGCCATGAGCCACCAATCCTGCCTTTTGCTTGACCATCTTTTGCCTGCCTGAGCATGAACATCGCCGAACTCCACTGCCTCCGATAGACTGCAAGCCTCGAGCTTCACCTTCATGAAGAGGCTCCAGCCCTCATGGTTGGTGCGCGTCAGCTGTGGGTAGGTGTTGCTGCTGACTTCCTTCACCATGCACCGGTCATCGTCTGCACTGGTGGATTGAAGGGGAACGAGCGGTAGTGTCTCACCTCACCAGGAAGAGTAGACACCACGTCTCTTCTTCAACTGGGCTCTGGTACCAGTTGTTGGCAATGGAGGAGGTAGGGGAGACACGCACACACACTGATTCTGAGCTGTTAAGCTGCTCTTGTATTGCACACATGCATACACATATATACACATACAGAGGGCAGTTGTATACCTGCCAGCCTTTCCTATCTACTGTGCCTAGTCATGAACCCACTGCTCAACTACTCTTATGCTGTCTACTGTTGCCGTCCATCTTGCTTATCAATCAACAGAGCAAGGAACTGACCTATATGTCGACAGCAACTACTACTAATACTAGTGATGACGATGAACACATGGATTACTTATCTATCATTATTGTGCATAGTTGTTTTACAAGTTCCTGAAAAACAAAAGGTACATGTTCCCCGAACATAGTGTCAATTAATGATCTAATAACATTTTCAGTTGTCTGGTCATTTCTTGAATAAAATCAAATTATAGGTCAAAGCATCGATACATCTAAACCCATGTGAGAAGAACTTCTATGCAGGTCGAGAAAACCCCTAAACCGTTGTCCCAGCCATACACAGCGAAACCATAGCCCATGTGAGAACGACCACCATGACCTGGGCCGGACTTTAGACCTCTGCTTTGGTGAGTGGTGTGGGACAGATGAGGGGATTTTTTTTTAACCCTAGCCTAAATTTCGCTCCCACTGGGAGTCGAACCCAGGACCTAAGGAGTGCTACTAGAGCCATCTAACCAACCCATCTAGAGGCCTGTTCGCCATCAATACATCTAAGCGTAGAACTTGTTTATAGTTCATGTACCATTCATACATTTAGGAAGCTTTTGAAAGGTAGCAATGTAAAATGGAACCTATTAGCTGCAAGGAAATAGTTACTGTCTCTGCAAAAATATTGTTTCTGATTCTTTTTGCCTTTTTCCATTTTGAGTTCAGGTAAGAGAAGCAATTGGTATTGCCATGTGTGTTACAACCTCAAATATGAGACTTTCTGGGTCATTTGGCACTGCATGTTCACCGCAAGACCTTTGTGGGGATGTAAGCATGACTGAACAAACAGGAAATGAATATTGGTCTGAACGTTTGACAGATGGAGCTAATGAATTAGCTGTAAGTATACAAAACAGTACTCAATCTAAGCAACTGGAGTCAACATCAGATTCGGCTGAAGATAGCATGGATGATAGAGAGCAGGCTGCTGCTAAAAGGATGGAAACGGTGCTTATTTTATGCCTTTCTCCAAGTTTTAAGGTGCCATTTCCACATGCTTCATTTGTGGCTTACATATTCCCCTTTTCTTTTCCTTTGCAGATTTTTCATTTTATAATCGCATCTTTGAAGTCTGGGAGATCTTCTGTTCTACTGGACATTATTATTGGGCTCGTGTACCCAATTCTCTCACTACAGGTAAACCAATTTGGTATTTTTCAGTGAAAGGGTAATTTTGTGGTGAAAGGGCCTTTTCTTTTTTTTGCTTTCTCTCACCTTTTCATGTCATCTTCAATTTATTGTTTTTTTGTTGTTACTAACCTTAGAGATTTGAGAAGAGTTGTCCCTTAGGGATGATAGTAATATATATATATAGAGGACTCTTCATGGGTCATATGGGCCAACAATGAAAAATGTTGAAGGTGAGGAAATTCCTCGTCTTTGCAGGAAACATCAAATAAAGATTTATCATTGCTCGCTAAGTCAGCTTTCGAGTTGCTGAAATGGAGGATTCTACATCGGCCTTTTCTTGAAACTGCTATTACGTCTATTCTTTCTTCAGTTAGTGATCCTAACTGGCGGAACAGATCTGCACTGTTATCGTATCTCAGGACCTTTACCTACAGGTTTGATAAGTCACTTCCTTTCCAATGTAACCATATTTGTGACAATGGTTTTGGTCGACAATTAATGTTTCTTTCCTTGATGCTTAGTATGAAAGGGTTGTAGCTTAATAGTACATTGTGAATGTCAAGATTTTAGTCCTTGCTACAAAGCACACACTATTTTTCATTCCTATATTATATAGCAAGTGCCATGACTTGTGAGTTGTTACTGCTACTTGTAATCCCATTAAGACCAACCGATTTTTTTTTGACAAGGGTAACCTTTTTCCATTACCTCCATAACGAAAAATAGTGCTGGAGTTTACAAACCATAAGACAATAGCAGTATAGCTACACAAAGAAAGTGAGTGATGAACTTCAGAGATGCAAGACCAATAGAAACACAGCTTGTACTTTACAGATTTGCAGTATTTCTATAACCTTCTTAAGCAATAATGTCACTTTAGTATTATGTGTCTCTGATTTTTTTTCTGTGGTCAGAGCTAATGGAAAATGATCCACTACATTACCTTTTTCACAGGCACACATTCATACTTTCTGGCTCAGAGAAATCACAAATCTGGCAAACAATAGAAAATTTACTTGTGGACAACCAAGTTGAGGCAAGTATATGTTCATTTGACCCTATACAGTGACATTTGTTTTCCCATTCTGTGTCTTACTCAAAATGTGTAATATCACTGCACTATCATGAAAATGTGTACTATCAGTGTACATGTTAGTGCTGTGCAGTGTAGGTTTCTTTTGTGAATGGTTTGAACTTTGTTCTTATACATTCAGGTTAGGGAGCATGCTGCTGGTGTTCTTGCAAGCTTAATGAAGGGTATAGATGAAGATCTATCAAAGGATTTCCGTGAACGGTCATATGCACAAGCTCAGCGTATTTTTGTTGCACGGAGAAGGTAAACTTTCTCCTGACTCTGATGTTGTCATGGATTAATGTCACATTTTCTCTTCTCGTTGATTTGTTTATCAGACAGTCAGCTAATACCTCTGTTATTGGTTATAGAAATTTGAAGTCCTCTGTTGCTACCATCCATGGTGCAGTCCTTGCTTTGACAGCTTCAGTCCTTTCTGTTCCATACGACATGCCTAGGTACCCTTTGTGTCTTTCTATGCATGGTGGATGTTGATGCTTCTCTTTGTTCAAGGAAAGCATCTTGTATGCGTGGTTGATATTGTAGACTTTTGCACTATAGGCACCACCTAATTTTGAGTTCAATTTCAATTCTCTTGACTGGGCATGTGGCTTTGTGGTCTGTTGCAGCTGGCTTCCTTCTCATGTCACGCTACTTGCTCGCTTCATCCGGGAGCCTTCCCCCATAAGATCAACCGTCACGAAAGCTGTTGCAGAATTTAAGCGCACCCATGCTGACACATGGAGCATCCATAAGGACGCATTTACTGAAGACGAACTGGAGGCAAGCTTGAAATCTTCTCCTTCACTCTCCCTTTCCTACTGCTCTACAGCTTACGCTCTTTGTAATAGTTCCGCTCTTTGAACATGCAGGTTCTCCGTGATACATCTTCCTCCTCGTCGTACTTTGCTTAGATTAAAATTTCAAAGGTCATAGGATATTCTCTGGTACCGGTGATGTGTATACGAAATTTGTTACTGTTGAAGTGCCAGTGTTGCTCATGTAGTATAACCTTGTATCATAGTATTATTTACTCAACAGATGCCTTGGTACAAGTGAGATGAAGCTATGCACATATTATTATATACATGTGTGATGTGTCTACTGTGTTCCATCTAGTCTAGACATAGCCGAAGCGTTATGGCATATGGGTTCCTTGCGTGGGCAAAAAAAAGAAAAAAAGAAAAAGAAAAAGGTTAAAATCCGAATCTTTCGCCCAGTCCATAACGGCATGCCATGCAACTACTGGTTTCAGAAACGACGTGAGTAGAACTGTACGATCCCGCCTAGTTTAACCGGGCGTCCGCAATGTCTCTTCACGGCATCGGTAGGAACGTGGGTCCAACGCACAGGTGGAAGGAACGACCTACCAATTATATTCGCTTGTTACCCGGTAGTAAGGCTGCTGCCCGGTGCCCGGGTATTTGTTGTTGCCGACGCTCACAGTGTTCCTTACCAGCAAGAGGACATTGTTTATTTCTTCTTACCCCCTTCCTACCTCCCATCGTGGACACCCTTAATGCATCTCCAGCCACTCCAATAGCAAAGTCAACATGCTAGCTATAAATTTGTGCATGGTTATTAGAAGAAAGAGAGAATCAGCCATTGACAGTAAAAAAATTGTACATAAGCACCCCCAATGCAAACGTGTATAGCTCCAATGCATACTTGTTTCTTACTCCCTCCATTCTACAATGCTTGTTTATAATCTTTGGATGAAAATGTTACATAATATCTGTTCATTGAGGATATTAACACGGTAGTTCCTGTAGTATGTTCATTCTTGGCCTAATTAAATGCTTTCATATATGGATGGTTTAAGGTACCTATTAGAATTTGTGCCTAGCTTGTTTGTTCCATAATCAGTTCCCACATCATTGGCTTTCGATGCGGCGATCTTGAACTCTTCTTTTGGTATGTTCTACAACAAAGTCCGGCATCTTCAACACGTTGGTCTGATGGTGAAGGATTGTAAGCCTGCGTCCTTTGGAGCTTTCTTCCAGCCGATCTTCTTTTAGTGGGTACTAGATCTCGTTGCCAGCGGCGAGTGGCTTTTTCGGTCTTCAAAGCCTTTTTTGGCAAGGGTGTTTGCACATGTCCCTTTTCTTTGCTATCTTCATAGTGCGATCTTCAAACTCCGGCAGGCAGTAGACGTTCGAAGGAAGAAGACGGCCGATTTGGCCTTTGATGTACTCCTATTTTTAGAGGTCGCTTTATGTCTTATTGTCCATCTTTTGTACCAACCTTTGTTTTTCTTGAGATATATCAGATGTGACACTCAATTTATCAAAAAAAAAAAGTTCCCACATCATTTAAACCCAGCTAACTCCATCTGTCCCAAAATAAATCAACTTTTAGGGTTGTCCTAAGTCAAAATATTTTAAATTTAAGCAAATTTGTAGAAAATAACGTAAATATTTATGACACCAAATTTCGATCACTAGACATAGCATGAAATATATTTTACATAATGTACTTATCTAGTGTCATACATGTTATTTTTTCCTATAAAGTTGGTCCAACTTAATAGTTTCACTCTGGGTAATTCTAGGACTAGAAATTGATTTATTATGGGATAGAGGAAGTACCCAAGACAATAGTTCCACCTTCTCCAAGAATTCAAAACTTATTATCTTTGACTACAATTAGTTTAATCATATAAATAGTTTAATACTACAAAAGTGCTCACAATGGATTTGTATTTAGAAGTACTTTCTGGTGATTAAAGTCTCTGTCCAGCAAAGAGTATCATTCTTATTTCATGAGGAATCAAACATTTTCAATTTAAGATTTAAATAAATATGTATAAGAAAATATGAATATTTATGATACATAATTAGTATCATTAGATAAATCTCTGAATATATTTTTTAATAAACTTATCTTGAGATACAAATATTGCTAATATTTTCTATAAATCAAGTCAAACTTTAAAAAGTTTGATAAGCATGAACCCCATAGCGATAATCTTTTTGGGACGAAGGAGGTATATTATAAGACAAACCAACAGTTAAAGTGTGATTTTGATGGCCGCATCAAGTCAAATAGCACAATATATTTTGGGACTCAGGAAGTTTCAACATGGAGCATCGGATGAGGCCTAAATTAGGCATTAAAGAAATTACCTCTTACATACTCGACGTTAATCCCACCATTCCTATGAAGATTGAAGAGTAACTCGGTTAGTTTTGTTGTGCTGGAACTTATCCATGTAGCTTGAAGTCCTCAACTTTGTATAGGGCGTATTTTCCTGGGTTTATTGCAGCATTATATTTAATGATGCTATTAGTTTAGTGGTAGCGATGTATCCACAAGGTGTCTGCAGGTACTTCGTAAATCTTGAGATACTCGCACTTTTAGATTGTGCTCATATGGGCATGGTGAGTTATTCAAAACATCACAACGTCCTCTTCCTCCTGCTAGTTCTCCTCATGAGGTACTAAAAAAGGTGGCAGCAGAAATTGAACCTGGTATCGAAAGTTCATGTAATCATGTTTACGAATACTCGCTAAATGATCCTATATGTTACAACAGAATAGATAAACCAAGTACATGCCCATATATATATTGTTGGTGTTAGAATAGAAGGAATACACAAATGCCATTGATTTCACTTGCCTATATAGTACCATGGGAGAGGATGGACCAGTTTTGTGTTCACTGGCAAAGATATGTAAATATAGCAATGTTTAAGGGTAGAGTGGTGGTTGAAGAGATTTTGTGACGCCTAACAGAGGTGGGTGTGAATTAGGCTTTCTAAAACTTCTACTTTAAACTTGGACACTAAGTCCACTTATCAAAACATATATAAAAAGTAATCTATCTAGATGTATAACTAAGATTTTACTAATACTACAAGAAATATGTCACTCTATGACATTTATGACAATGATATCATATCAAAATGTCACTAAATCAACCCATTTATGTCGCTTTTCTAGAGCATGCTAGATTTGTGACAAACAAGTTCATGTCACAAAAAATGTCCCAAAGTCTATCTAATTCCATTTCGTGACAATGTTTGTTGTATCCTAATACCACAGGACAACAACATATAACACTGCTAGAAACCGAAATTTCCATGTGTGCCTGATATTTTTTCTATGGTTCCATGAAAACTCATAGGGAAATACTCCTTACATTCCAAATTAAAGTTGTTTCAGCTTTCTAGGTGCGTAGCTTTATCTATATATTATGTCTCGATATATAATAAAAACTATGTATTTAGAAAAGTCAGAACGACTTATAATTTGGAATGGAGAGAGTAATAATTAACTTGTCGGTTCGACAAACTTATAGAAAAATAAATATAACCCTATCGGTTTTAGTGTAACGCGCAAGAATAATCTATTTTTCTTATCGATTACCAGGGAACAAAAGAAAAATAGCTTACATCATAATCATCTATAGTTTTCTATAAGTTTTATTATTTTTCTGTCACATATGTGCACACATGATTTAGGATAAAAACGCACTAATTTTACCACCTAATTTTTTGTTTTGAAGATGGTGGCGCCTTTTTGCGCATGTTGGCACCGCTTGTCACTAACCACCACTGTTGGTACTTCTTAGCATCACTAATAATGATGACACTCAAGAAGTACTTTGGTATTTAATTGTGACTTAGAAAGATTATGTATAATAAGAATTCTACAAGCGCACAGATAATATACCATTGTGGCACATCACTCGGGAGTATTACAGGTATCGTTATTTATATTTTTACCTTAGGGAAGGTCTAACAAAGGGAAATTATTGATAACTTATACTTATGATGGAGAAACCAACCATCAACTCTGAGCAGGGGTAAATCAAGAGATAGGATATAATGAATGATGAATGATAAATGAACACTCAGAGTACTCCTTATGATAGCAATAGCAAGACTAAGTAGATACAATAGAAAAACTAATTCCTAAGTTGATCTTAATTACAAGTCAAAGCATACATTGATTAGTGCAATTATACTTAATAATCATGGCTAAGAATTAACTTCATATCTACATATAAAAGACATTACCAAGGAAGATCAAGAATAGAGCCTGACTTCCTTCGCAATTAGGTCTTACTTGACCTATATTTAGGGAGTGGACTACAAAGGACTCAACAAGAATGTCACACTCACGATCTACCACATGGCCTGGAATATAGGGTGCATCTGCAGGTAAACAACGTGTAAGCACCACACTTACACAATGTCGACCACTCACCCTATGTACTTTAGAGCGAGCGCTTTGTGAACTTATGCATAAATATAATGATAATCTAGCTATACTAAGCATATAATCAAAGTAAACGATGAACATGATAACTAAGAACATGAATAATATTAAGAACAATGTCATAGCAAATGTAGCAAACATATGAATAATGAATGATACAAGAGAGGATACAAAGGCTTTACCAAGCCAAGCTCTTAACAAGATTAGGAATCCAAGCAGATGGCTTGCCCCTCTCTAGACCTAACTTAGCTAACTATGCCTATGAATATTTGTGAAGCTTCTGAGGTTGTTCTTCTTGATGATGATATCTCTTGATGATGTAGGAGGATTGATGCCTCAGGGGGTATGGGTGGCCTTATATAGGGGGGAACCAGGGGTCCTGTGGGCCCATGAATCCATGGCATCGTCAAATCTGCACCCTCGAATCGAATCGACCTTAAGCAACGGTGTAAGATTGATCCTTAGAGGCAGTGGAGAACCGACGTTGAAGCAGAGGCTAACAGGTGGGGCCCACATGCCGGCCAGCCTGCAGGGGTGGCCGGCCTGCCCGACCCTATCAGGTCTCAGGCTGGGTCACGGTGATTTGCCTTCTATAGTGTTCTGGAGTCTTCCTAAGTCGGTTTCATCGTGGATAAATGTGAT